ATTGCAGTGGTATGTGGGTCAGGCTCTGCCCTCCTGAGTACCAGCCGTATTGATTTCGGTGGTTATTCCTGATTTGGACCTGGATAATTGGGAAGGGAGTTGGGCTGTGTGGGTTGTAACTGTTTAAAATGGTACAGTTTGGAGGAATGTACAAGTGTGCAAACAAAACTTGAGGATGTAGCCTAGATTCCGTCACTTGTTCGTAGCCTGCGGACTTTATTAGACCCTCCAGACTTTACCTAATTTTGGCATTATTCCCTCGTCATTACGTCATGGGTGTGAAGTGGAGACAGGGTCGTTCTCTCCTACCTTGTGGCCATGTAAAGGATTCGCGTGGTTTTAGTAGGGGACAGGCTATGTTTGAGCAGGTTTCAACTATTTTAAGCACTGTTGGCCATGCTGGGGTTCTCGCTGGAAGATTCAGTCTTACCAGAGAGTAGATTTTAGTCTCCCATCAGATGCCATACGTGCTGTGAACTACGGAAAGGCACTTGGTCTCGGTTCACAGCGTCAGAGTTACTAAACTGGAAAGCCGCTCTCCATCACGGACGCTGCGGTCCCAGCCACGGCGCATCTGTCTGTCCTTCCTCTTCACTAGCTGGAAATGGTTTCAAGTGCTGAGAATCGTTTCCCTAACTTTGTAATTGTATCAGAAAAAAGCTGCAACAAAAGCAACAAAATCTCGGTCCCCTCTGAGAGCCTTTTCCCCAGAAAATCTGTTTTAGCTGGCCTGCTTCAAGGTGCCCGTGGGCAGAAGAAGTGGTTGTAGTTTCTTTCTCTCTATGGTTCCTTTTGCAGGATTTTTACCTGCTAGGAAAAAGAAAAGCAATGGTGGATAGACTTGAAGTATCCAGTCCTTCTGCACCTTCCTTGTGTTTTCCCCTTTATCTCATTATTTATGTGAAACTGGCTGGCTCTTGGGCTTTTCTGATAGGTACTGTGTAAACATTACGCTTCTCAGGTGCCCTCTTTCTCCTTGCTTTCCCTGTGCTTTTCTGGCTCCTGTCCTCCCACTCCCAGGAAATATTTGAAAGATAATTTGGCGTATTTTCTGCCACCTTCACATATCTCCCTGACTTCATGTTTTCTTAGCTGGAAGATAGCTTTTCAACATATATATGTAATCCTTTTCACCTAGACATGTGAGGAATTCCAGTCTCTTCCAGTGGGAGTTTTCAGGAAGGTTTAGGTTAAATGGGCCAATAAGGCAAAAGCATGTAGCAGAAGATCTCGCTCTCTAAAGACATCTTTTCTCTTTAGCTCTTTCCCCCCCTCCCCTGGAAAATATATCAGAATATCTAGCTGTCAAAGAATTTAAACAATAATACCTGATCTGAAGGCTAGAGTGCAGGGCTTTTGAAAATAAAGATTGTAATCTCTCTATGGTGTATCCAGGGACTGATGGAGCTGGGAGGCAGGTGTCCTGAGCAGCAGACTGCCGTGGGGATGCTGCTGCAGCTTGCTGGCACTTATTTTATCTGAGCTCTCAATGGAAGTTCTCTTGGATTTTCCCTTGCACTGTTGTTGTGGCCATAGCATCTTTATCACAGAAACAAAACAGCAAGACGAATCCAGTTTACATTCATTTAAATCCTGCTGGTGGTGGCTGAGCTCTTCTCCTGCCGCATGTGAGCGGGGTGGGAGACCTCAGCAGCCCCTTCTGCTGGGGCAACCTCTGTCCCCCAGAAACTCTTGTTGCAGCCTGTAGGGCTGGGATTCATCCCAGCTGATTTTAGCTGACCAGATGTGTTGTCCAAGGTCCCTGTCTGGGCTCCTGAGAGAATTTAGGGAGAGAGGGGAAAATCCTCCCCCATTTACATGCCTGGCATAAAAAGGAGAATCATGTGAAACGGGTGCCTTAATGTGGAAGTCAACTGGGTATGAACCCTACCCCAAATCCACACTGATCTCTTGTAGGAAAGGAGGTCAAGGATCCCTAGAAATAAGAGCGTGTTTCCAGCATCTTAAGACTCAGGTTTTTCAGAATTGGGTACATTAGTGGCCCTAGCTTGTACTTTGGCAGCTAGGGTCACAGCAGGGAGCAGGCAGCATCTGCCGAACCTCCTTCACTCTGCTCCCCACTCCTAGACATTGGGTGCAGGATGACCTCTGGGGCTTGCGAGCCTCCTCGGGGTGCTGGGGTACATATGCCGCTGTATTCACTGGTGTGGGTGCTGCACTGGGCGTTTGCCCATCCGCTGCTTCTCGGTCTGTGCTGTGGCACTAGCCCAGGAGGGATCTCAGCGCCGGCGTAACCTTTGCAGCCTGGAGGAAAGGTGACTTCCATTTAGTTCTAAATTATGACATTATTTTATTAGATCTTTAAACTTTATTTAAATTCTTTATGTAAAAAGGAGGAGGAAGGTATCATATTTTAATTAGTAGCGGTGTCAAAGGAGACCTAGATTAATTATTTGAAATCACTCCATCCAGATGGTTTTAATTTTCACAGCAGGGAACCGGCATCTTTTTAAGGTGATATTTTTCAAATTAAAATCAGCTTGGATATTACTCATACTGGCTGCAGAGCGAGGGGGTGGGGAACGCGGGCTGGCATGCCCCGTGTTTGTCCGTCTGAGCGCAGGCTGCTGGGGAGACCTGTGTCGGTGAGGTGGGGGTTGCCGACTGTCTGGCAGGACCGCGGACTGCGGATCTCGTGTTGGAGTGCTTTATCAACATCAGCTCCTACTTTGGCTGGCCAAACCCCGTACCTGATATTCAGCGTTATTCTTAGCAGCTTTAATCACAGCGCTGAGACTGGGACGGATGGAGCAGCTTAGGTGGGAACTTACCGTGTCCTGTGCAAGCTGTGGAGCCCCCGCTTGACCCCTTCGGTGGGTGGCCCTGTGTCTGTTTGCACTCCTGTGCGGGTTCGACAGCATAGGTCTGTGGGTGGCTCCTTGGTGCTCTGGGTGTTGGCCGTGGTCCTTGGGCCAATTTTTGGGACCTCTTGTGCTGGCTCCATAACCTTCCCTCCTGAGGGGCTGCTGCTCTCCCCACCTGAGGCTGACCATTAGTCCTCTCTAATGCCCTTGCTCACGTGAGGGGAAGACCTTGGCTCTTTAAAGACAGTCATACCTTTGGGTATTCCCTTGTCTATTAATGCTGCGTTGTGTCTGAGCAGCCTCCCTGAACTCCTTGAACCAGTGGACATTCACCAAGTTATAGACCACGTTGCTCATCTTCCCCTTGAAGACAGGTGTTTGACCCTATGCCATCCTCCTTCATCCTGGTTTTGCTCATGTTTATGTCCTTACTATGATGGGATATTTCTGGTTCACATGGCCCTTCCTCACTTAAGTGGTCACTGGTTCGATACCACCTTGGCAGGTGTGGAGGGAAAGCCTGCAGCACCTGGCTGTCGCTGGCAAGCTGCTCTCCATCACAGATACCCCAAAACACAGTGCGTTTCTGAAAGACTTAGATAAATATCCATATTTATGCATGATTGCAAGTAATATTCTGCTGTAATGCAGGCATTACCCCACTTGCTGTCAGAAAGAAGTTATTCTTCAAATATCCCCTGTGATAAAGGTTTAACAAATATATCTAATAAGTGTAAGCAGCTAGTAACTGGAAAATCCTGAACTTGCATATGTGACTGAGCTGCAAAGGCAAAACTCCGTTTAGGGCCCCTGTGAGTTAAAGGTTTGTGATATTTGCTCTGCTGCAGAAGCCAAAAGCTGACTTTACAAGTGGGAAAAATATTAATGTGTTTAAATGAAACAAACTCCTATTTCTATCCCCATGGTAAATCCTTACACTGAACATATTTGCTCTTAGAGGGTTTTAAAGTTTGAAATATGAATGCCAAAAAGAATGTGACTTTTTGCAGCACAGATCAAACATTCTCCAGAGTTTGGCAAAAGCCGTGTTTCTACGGTAAGGCTCGGGTCTTACAAGCGTGAGTATTTCCAGAGCAGGACCGTGGATTTGCACTTGCTGACACTTACACATTCTTGCATTGTGTTTCGACCATGTCTCCTTTCTCCCCCTGCATATCAGAGATGGATCTGAACCAAAATGTCCAGTCTGCCTGTTCCTGCCTCTCCAGGGAAATTCCTGGAATCCGAACCTCGAGCATGACTGGAATTCGTGTTTAGATCAGAGATGGAATAGACTGCTGAATTTGGATGTGTCTAGGTTTTTGAGATGTTGGTGGCACGCTACACATCTGGGTGGCAGCTCGGCCTCTTCTGCGAACTTAGTTGTGTCGGGGCAGGTGGTTTATGAAGATGCAGCAGAAATCTGTCCTCTACCGTGGCTCCTGGCAATGCTGCAAACCGGCTCTGCCCCCAGTAAACATGGAAGGCACTATGAGACTGGCCATATTTCTCACAGCTAGAGCAGGAGTCACGGACGTGGACTGCCAGAAAGCATTTAGTGACCTCCTGGGAACCTAGCTAGACACACAGAGGATGTCTGCGGAGCGGGTATTCATCAGACAGAACAAGCAGTGCCAAATTTCTCCCCTGCTAGGTGTTGTGGTGATCTTCAGGAGATCACTGTGATGTTTTGCACCACGAGCGTGAGGCTGGACCGCTTCTGTGAAGTGCTTGAGGGCTGCTGGCTGTGGGGAAAGGGTTTTTGTTCTTGTCATGCTAATCTTTTATCTTCATGAGAATGAAATCCATGTTCTTACCCTCCAAGAACCCTCCTGCGGCGTGGAGGAGAGCATTAGCATTGAGCTTTATACTGCTGATGGTGGTGGGGTTGGTGCGGACTGATGGAGCACACACGCGTATGTGCGCGTTCTGTGCTAAACTGGCATTAAATCTGGAGCATCCGCGTGGGAATCACTGGAGATGTGTCAGACCTGCACCTGCGGCCAAGCCTGGAGCCCGGCCCCTGGGTGGCTCCTTGGGCTGTTCCCTTGCAGAGCATGGCAGCGTGGTGTGGTTCGGGTAGAGGTAATGGGACAAGGCGCTGATGAGCTTTGCACGCTCTGACTTAATGGGACCACATTGGTAAATGCTTCTTTTTTCTTCTTCCTTCACAAGCCCAGCTTCTAGTGGAAACAGACACTTTTGGCAGTCAAGTCCGGATCAAAGGGAAGGAGACAGACTTCTACCTTTGCATGAACAGGAAAGGCAAGCTAGTGGGGAAGGTAAGTGTTTCCTATTAATTCATTTGTAACATGAGTGTTACCTTTAGCAGCCTCCTCACGGCTGTAATGATGTGTTCGAGCTTTGCCTGTCAGCCTCAAATGAAAAGCAGGACGGAGGGAGGTGGGCTTTGCGAGCCCTCCCCCACGCCAGTAAAACCAACCTCTGCAGCCCACCCTGGGATTCTCGGATCACGCTTCCGATGCGGGTGGGTTTGCGCTTTACAGTTGCGTTAAACTGACGTGAGATGTCATCTCGGCATCCCAGTGTCGCGGCCAGCCCCGTGATAGCAGCGTTGCTTGGTCTTTGGGGTGAGAATCAGAATAAAAGGGCAGGCGGAGCGCGGTGCTGGGGAGGTGGGCGATGTCGGACTCCTCTCGGTGGCGAGCCAGGGGATGGTGTGGCAGAGCTGATGCTGGAATCCGAACATCGTGCTAGGGCTGGGCCTCACGGTTCTAGCGTTACGGGAATATTTTATTACTTTGGATCCCCGCGCAATGGAAGCATGTAACAAATTACAGCGCGTTCACCCGTCTAGCTTAACTGCTTTGCTGAAGTCATATTTTTTATGTATTAGCTTGTTTTTGTAACTTAGGCAGTTCTTCTGTATTGTTGGCAAACCTAGAAGCTCGCTAACCAGGCAGGAGCTTGCTCAAAGCTAAAATATCACCAAAAAAGAAATATAAAATACAGTATCACGGCCCCAAAAGGCTGCCTCCTCCACCGCCTGCACTTTGCACCACCAGGAATTGAAATCTGGCATCTTTGTGGCTGTGAAAAAGGGAAGCGGAGTTTTGTTTTGAGTCAACACAGCGAAAGCCGCGCTCCCAAACAGAAACCAGAAACCAAATGGCTCCGATGAAACGTTATTTACTTTTGTGGTCCCGGGAGTGACACTTGCGGGACGAGCGCCTTCCCCGGGGGTTCCCTCCTGCCACTGCTGCTTCCCTCGCGCGTGGGGCCGATGCTTCC